CTTGGAAAGAATCATGGAACAAAAATTCTATGATCTAGATGTCAAAGTAACTGAGATTCAGTCAGTTGTGGAGCAGCTACAGGATGACATGTAGGAGAGGAAGGGAAGACTACCACTAATGTATTTGCCAGAGTGCCTAGAGCTCAGAGGTCAGCTGCGGTGCCTGTGACAGACACCAGAGCCACATCATCTGCACCAACTACAACTCCTACAGCTCCAGTGCAACCAGCTCCAGCACCAACTCCTTCAGCTCCATCCACTTCAACTGAAGCCTTCGTCCAAGGAGACATCTCTACACCACCACCTGAAGATCAAGCCTGAGAGTCGATCTAGCACTATGCATTTTCTATGAACTTTTTGGTAACTTGTTGCCAAAGGGGGAGAAAAATGTATAGATCATAGGCTTCGAGAGAGAGTGTGTGTTGCTTTTGTTCTCTCTTGCTTTGGTGGTTAAACTTTGATTGCTTTTGATCGCTTGAGATACTATGCTGTTTGCTGTGAGACATTGATGATCATGTGTATGATCATAAGCTACACTTATGCATGTTTGATGATATTATCTTACCTATTCTTATGTGATCATTCACTTTGCTTGGTGATGAGTGCATGTATTCAATCTTTATCATTTTGAGCGCTCCACCAAGATGTATGTGACATGGAAGAGTAACCCATGAGCCTAATTCCTTGTGCATTTGCAGTCCAAAGCAAATCTTAAACTATGCACAAATTTAGGGGGAGCTCTTACTTATCACATACTTCTCAAAGCGACGATGTTTTTCAATCTTATTATCATTTGTCGAAGCTTTGATCTATATGTTGTCATCAATTACCAAAAAGGGGGAGATGGAAAGTGCAACTATCCCTAGGTGGTTTTGGTAATTCATAACAACATATAGCTCATTGAGCTAATGCTATTCCAAGACTATTATTTCAGGAAAGCTCAATGAATGGCATGGCATGGATGATGAAAGTGGACCCCTCAAAATACTAATGACAAAGGATTGGCTCAAGCTCAAAAGCTCAAGACTCTTCATTTTACATTTTAGTGATCCAAGATCACATTGAGTCTATAGGAAAAGCCAATACTATCAAGGAGGGATGAGGTGTTGCTTAATGAGCCTCTTGCTTCATGTGCTTAGTGATATGCTCCAAATACCCTCAACTACTTTCTCATATCCACAAATGACCTAAACCTAAAGTCAAACTCGGCCCCACCGATTCTTTCTATCCGGCGCCACCGAGTTTTGATGTCATAGCCACTGCCACAAACCCTAGGCAAATCGGTCCTACCGATAGGGATCTCGGTCTCACCGAGATGGGATTGTAATCTCTCTATTTCCCTTCGTAACGTTTCGGTCTAACCGAAGTGAGCGGTCGGTCCCACCGAGATTGCAATGTAAACTCTCTGTTTCCCTTTTGTAACATTCCGGTCTCACCGAAAAGAGCAAATCGGTCCCACCGAGTTTACCTGACCAACTCTCTGGAAAGCTTATTACCAAAATCTGTCTCACCGAGTTTGTGTAATCGGTGTTACCGAGATTACGTTATGCCCTAACACTAACCATATCGGTCTTACCGAGTTGCATGTCGGTCCCACCGAAAATCCTAACGGTCACTAGGTTTACTAAATCGGTCCGACCGAGTCTGTTGAATCGGTCCCACCGAGTTTGGTAAATTGTGTGTAACGGTTAGATTTTGTGTGGAGGATATATATACCCATCCACCTCCTCTTCATTCGTGGAGAGAGCCATCAGAACAAACCTACACTTCCAACTTACAATTTCTGAGAGAGAACCACCTACTCATGTGTTGAGGCCAAGATATTCCATTCCTACCATATGAATCTTGATCTCTAGCCTTCCCCAAGTTGCTTTCCACTCAAATCTTCTTTCCACCAGATCCAAAACCTATGAGAGAGAGTTGAGTGTTGGGGAGACTATCATTTGAAGAACAAGAGCAAGGAGTTCATCATCAACGCACCATTTGTTACTTCTTGGAGAGTGGTGTCTCCTAGATTGGCTAGGTGTCACTTGGGAGCCTCCGACAAGATTGTGGAGTTGAACCGAGGAGTTTGTAAGGGCAAGGAGATTGCCTACTTCGTGAAGATCTACCGCTAGTGAGGCAAGTCCTTCGTGGGCGACATCCATGGTGGGATAGACAAGGTTGCTTCTTCGTGGACCCTTCGTGGGTGGAGCCCTCCGTGGACTCGCGCAACCATTACCCTTCGTGGGTTGAAGTCTCCATCAATGTGGATGTACGATAGCACCACCTATCGGAACCACGCATAAAACATCCATGTCTCCAATTGCATTTGAATCCTCCAAACCCTTCCCTTTACTTTCTTGCAAGTTGCATGCTTTAATTTCTGCTGCTCATATACTCTTTGCATGCTTGCTTGAATTGTGTGATGATTGCTTGACTTGTCCTAAGATAGCTAAAATCTGCCAAACTCTAAAATTGGGAAAAGGCTAACTTTTTAATTGGTCAAGTAGTCTAATCACCCCCCTCTAGACATACTTCAAGGTCCTACACTTGCTTGTGCCTCCTACTAGATTGATACCTTGGTTCTCAACTGAGGAAAATACTTATCTCTACTTTGCTGCATCACCCTTTTCTCTTCAAGAGAAAAATCAATGCAAGCTCAAGAAGTAGCAGGAAGAATTTTTGGCGCTGTTGCCGGGGAGGTTCTACATCAAGCCTACCAAGTACCTATCGTAAACTCTCATCTCTTGCATTACATTATTTGCCATTTGCCTCTCATTTTCCTCTCCCCCACTTCTAAAACATTTTTAGAAAAACACAAAAATATTTGCCTTTTTATTCGCCCTCTTTCTGTTCGTCTTTTCGTATGCCTTTTTGCTTGGTTGCTATCTTTGCTTGTGTTGCCATGTGCGTCCTATTTGCTTGCATCCACTTAAAGTTTTCTACTTGCACTACAAAAAAAATACACTTCCGTGATGATACGTGTTTGTCACAATAGGTCACGTTTTCTGTCATGCATGTACATCCATGATGATTTTATGACAGAATCAAGATAGTCATACCTGTGCTGTCGTAGAAGTGTTACATGACATTACCAAAATTATCATCACGGAAGTGTCCACTTCCATGACGATAAATCGCACGTCATAGAAGTGCTTTCGTCAAGGGTGACCGACACGTGGCATCCACCATAACGGCTCGCCGTTAAGCTATCGGGTCAGGTTTTGGATCCGATAACCCGTTGACAGCCCCGACCAATGGGGATTTTCCACGTGTAAAATCATCATTGGCTGGAGGAAACACGTGTCGGCTCACCGTTGGGCAGATGTCATCCACTCAATGGACCGAAGGCGCCTATGATACGTCGACACGTGGCACGGCCCAACAGAGGCCCATTCCTGTGAAAAGGCCGGCCCGTTTGACTTGGTCAAAAGGTGATGGGCCAGCCCACGGAAAGCCTATTAACGGCTTGTTCGCATATAGCCCATTTACAACCCGCCAACCTAGGGCCCGTTATGACATATTTGAATTAAGCCCAGTAGCGTCATCTGGGCCGTCCAATATGATTCCATCCTGTTTTAACTTCCGGCCCATGTATGGCCCATGACGTTTTTCGGCCCATATGAGGCCCTTTGTAACTCTTGGCCCATTAACGGCCCGTGGTGAAACTGGCCCGTAATGAACAGTGTATCACTTTATACCCATTAACGGCTCGTGGTGAAACTGGCCCGTAATGAACAGTGTATCACTTTATACCCATTAACAACCCATTATTCCATTGGGTCGTTTCCAGCCCATGTTATCTTTCGGCCTTCTCAGGGCCCATTTATTCTTGGGCTCATTTCTAGCATTCGTTTACTTATGGCCCGTTACTATTATTTTTTGCTTGTGGGCCAAATTCAGCATGTGGTTACAGTCGGCCCGTTTGTGGCCCGTTAATACGTTGGGACGTTTTCATAATGTCATCAAATACGACCAATTAACGATGGCCCGTTATGGTCGGCCCATGAATGGACGATTCCAACTCTAGCCCGTTTACAACCATAATGTGGTCTGTTATTGGCCCATGTTTGGCCAATCGATCATACGGCCCGTGGAAGGCCCATTGATGATACGACCCGTAGAAGGCCCATTGTGTCTACGGCCCGTAGAAGGCCCATTGTTTCTACGCCCCGTAGAAGGCCCATTGTTTCTATGGCCCTTAGAAGGCCCATTGTTTCTACGGTCCATAGGAGATCCATGGTAACTACAGTAAATATGTAACCCATGGTTATTGTGGCCTAGTTTTAAAAATTAGGTTATTGCGGTCACTAGCAAACCGCGGAAAAAGAACTACACTGACTACAAGCAAACAAATAAACAAGACAATAAGGAAATAAATAAGCAAGCAACTTACGCTAGGCTATCACGGCTATTACACATATTACATCCACTAGGCATCAAAGTTTGTCACCGGTGCAAATATAGGGAACAAAACAGCATATTATATACATTGGTTGTCAAAGTTGGCGACCAGTGCAAATAAACACCGCAGCAAAACAAGTCCAGAACTGAAACCACTTCAGAAGAGCTCAAGAAACAATATCCTGGGTACCCATAATGCTGGCAAGATGCTTAGCAAGCTTATTAACTTTCTCTTGTTCAGAAACTAGGGGCAATCCTGACGAGGGGGGCACAACTAAGGGTATAAAACCAACTATCCCTTGTATTTAAATATGGACGGAGTGGAGTAGTACTATCTTTATCTTAGCCTCGTAAGGCTCTACCAAATTCAACATTTACTCCAACTTAGCCACCCAAACTTCAACTCATACAGACCAACTCTCTTCTGACATCATAGGCAAATAGAAAATGGGGACATTTGAAAAGAAAACATTATTTGGCATCAACCCTCTATAAGATACGATGGTTCCATTTCCCTAGACCCCTCTCAAAGTGCTAAAAGTCCGCAGACTTACGCTAACAGCGTCCAATTACACAAAAATGGTAAAAACTGCTGTTGACGACAAAGAGTAGCGTCATATACAATAAGCACAGAGGGTAGAGGGGTTTATACCTGAAGGGGACGCGTCTCCAGTGCCGACGTCGGCGGTGAGGTCGAGGAAGCGCTCGCGGTCAAGCTCAGCCTCGGACACGCCATCAGGAGAGGGGGTTGAGAGGAGGGCCACAGAGTAGGCGCGATTTGAATGAGGAGGGACGCGGTTGAGGAGGTGGCGGACGTCGTGGCGGTCAAGGAGGAGATCGGCCGCGCCGGCGACGGACCAGGGGACAAGGGAACCGCCGGAGTTTACGACCTCCGCCGCCGCGTCGTCGTCAAAGAGCAACGCGTGCCGTCCCACGATCTGCAGATCCATTGGCGATGGTTTCATCTGCCTTCGCCTTCGCCTCCTCTCGGAGTCAGCTCAGCGAGGCGGCGGGGCCGTATTGGGAGAGCTAGATGGAGAGCTCGTCCGCTAGGGTTTCGATGGAAAGACGTGCACAAGCGAAAAAGGTGTGACCCAGTTTTACCTTTTGCAAATTGCCCCTTGTATCTCTTACGAATATAGAAGCATAATTGGTTTGCTACCAATATTCGTCTTGCCAAATGTTGGCACTGCCATTGACAATACTGACACTTGCCAATTATTGGTAGCTTTATGTGAGATAGGCAAAACAAATCTTAGCCAACCAAGTAGTTGCCAATATTTGGCACAATGCCAAACATTGGCACGCCAATTTTTGGTAGCAAACCAATTATGTTGTAAATAACAAACACGGAGTTGATTTGTTTAGCTGGAAAGAGTTCAGTGTATGATACTCCCGCCATTCCCTTATACAAGGTCACTATCAAAAATACATTTTGCATCTATACAAGGCGACCAACAGTAATCAAGACAAAAACTAATGATGTTTTCTCGTAATAGCAACTTGTTTAATACTTACATGCATATAGTCATAATAGCAGTCAACTACTTCCTTCCTATTCCTTCTTTGCATGCATATGGCATATTAATGATCCCTGTTAACAATAAGAAAAGTTGGCTTGCAAAATAGTCATTAAATGTTTACTTTGATACCTGTAATTTGAGTTTGCGGCCTTGTATAAGAGAATGAACGGAGTACTACATTCGTAGTGCATAGTTTCATATGTTAGTATTATAGAGAACTTCATTTATTGTCATGCATGACACATAGTAGCACATCATTTAATATGATACGGTATCATGATATGATACTCAGTCATCTCTTTCATTTAATTCTATGACACCTCATCAAATTTACCTAGTTGGCATGCATGATACTACTTATGATACTCCCATTACGGACAACCTCATTCAGAGTATGGCATTTTGGATCTCGGCCTTTTTGAAAAAAATCAAAATTCAACATTTTTAGTTTTAGAAAAAACTAAAAAAATTGTCAAAGAAACAAGGAAAATGTTTGGGCTGGTCTCACCGCGGCCGCAATCACCACGTGGGTCCACACACCGCTTCGAACAACCTTTTCCTTTCGTGAGCGGCACCCATCCATTTTCCACCACTACCTTTTCTTTTTTCCCACCACAATCTCTGAGCCTGCTGCCGCAACAACAACGCCCAGCGGGAGCTATGTTGTAGCTTTGGGGGCTAACCACCACGCGGGGGCACGGCGAGCACCAACGAAGCTGCGGCGGAGGATGCACCAAATCGACGTGGTTACAACTTTTGGGGGTGAACCATGGCGCGGCGACGTGACGTCGTTGCTGATTTTTTGTTGCAACAAGCACTAATAGAGCTACTGCGGTGATGCAGCAAACCGGCACCGGCATGGTTACAACACCCGACATGGTGTGAAACGATGGCGTCCATCAAAATGTTGGAATCGCACTGGCGATTGCTACTAGCACGATCACCATTTGATGGAATTACCAATATCACTTTTTTATGCAGACCAGAAGCACTTTCCTAGAACCGGCATCGTCGTCCGTTGCAATCAGTGAGGGACATGCTGGAACCAGCGCCCACTGGTGCTGGAACCAGAAAGCATCTTCATCGGTGACATGTTTTTTTTGCTGGAATGGGCTTAATTTTTTGTTGGAATTGACTAGCTTTTTTGCTACAATCAAACTTCTTTGAGTTTGTTGCTATGGTGTTTTTGCTGGAATGGGCTTATGTTTTTGCCGGAACCGACTAGCTTTTTGGCTACAATCAGACTTCTTTGAGTTTGCTACTATGGTGTTTTTGCTGGGACAGACTTAATTTTTTTGCTGGAACCGATTAGCCATTTTGCTACAATCAGACATCTTTGAGTATGCCGCTATGGTGTTTTTGTTGGAAGCGGATTTTTGTTTTGCTTCAGACCATCATGAGATTTTTGTTCACTGAGTTTCACTTGGACATGGTAGTGCTATAGACAACGACGGCAAGCCAGCACTGGTGGCGCGCGAGATGCTGCAAGCATGGCAACTCTACGCTAGAACCGTCAGACATTAGAGCGCATCCATGGTGCTCGTGCGCTAGTTGCAATCCCGACCGCCACGGGGGTCGAGATCTTGTCGGTGCTCATCGGCCATGGCGACGACAGGGCACATAGTACCCTTTTAGGTATGGAAGCGGCAAGAGGGGGATGATGCTTTGCGGGATGATGAGCGTGGGGGAAGAAGACCACATGGGGAAGGTGTAACACCCCCTGTATTATGAGCTATGGTGATCTTTAAATTAATGCTAAGCTACTTTGTTTTGCAAAGAATGATCACAGTGAAATCATATCTCATTTCAAACTCCTTCACTGAATTCAAATTCAATTTGCAAGTGAAATATGAAGTTGCACAACAGTTGTTACAAAATAGTTCATCATTTAGCAGAAATTCCATAACAAATGATTGTTAAGGCAAACAACATCACCTCCAAGCCAAGATGGACTATAGCAATTAATACAGTGCCATTTCATCATTTTAAAATGATGTTTTATCTCTGAAAAATCCAAAATGGATTTAGTTACCCCTTAAACTTCTTGTGGCAGTGCCAGATACTACAAAGGATTTAATGTTGGGGAACGTTGCATGGAAAACAAAAAAAATTCTACGCACATGCAAGATCTATCCATGGAGCTGCATAGCTACGAGAGGGGGGAGCATCTACATACCCTTGTAGATCGCTAAGCGGAAGCATTTATCAATGCGGTTGATGTAGTCATACAACTTCAAGATTCGTTGCGATCAAGTACCGAACGCATGGCACCTCCGCGTTCAGCACACGTTCAGCTCGATGACGTCATCGCCTTCTTGATCCAGCAAGAGGGGAGAAGTAGTAGATGAGTGTTGGAAATATGCCCTAGAGGCAATAATAAAATGGTTATTATTATATTTCCTTGTTCATGATAATTGTCTATTGTTCATGCTATAATTGTATTAACCGGAAACTGTAATACATGTATGAATACATAAACCACAACATGTCCCTAGTGAGCCTCTAGTTGACTAGATCGTTGATCAATAGATGGTCATGGTTTCCTGACCATGGACATTGGATGTTTTTGATAACGGGATCACATCATTAGGAGAATGATGTGATGGACAAGACCCAATCCTAAGCATAGCACAAGATCGTGTAGTTCATTTGCTAAAAGCTTTTCTAATGTCAAGTATCATTTCCTTAGACCATGAGATTGTGCAACTCCCGGATACCGTAGGAATGCTTTGGGTGTACCAAAAGTCACAACATAACTGGGTGGCTATAAAGGTACACTACAGGCATCTCCAAAAGTGTCTGTTGGGTTGGCACAAATCGAGACTAGGATTTGTCACTCCGTATGACGGAGAGGTATCTCTGGGCCCACTCGGTAATGCATCATCATAATGAGCTCAATGTGACTAAGTAGTTACTCACGGGATCATGCATTATGGAACGAGTAAAGTGACTTGTCGGTAACGAGATTGAACGAGGTATTGGGGTACCGACGATCGGATCTCGGGCAAGTAACATACCGATTGACAAAGGGAATTTTATACGGGGTTGATTGAATCCCCGACATCGTGGTTCATCCAATGAGATCATCATGGAACGTGTGGGAGCCAACATGGGTATCCAGATCCCGCTGTTGGTTATTGGCCGGAGAGCTGTCTCGATCATGTCTGCATGATTCCCGAACCCATAGGGTCTACACACTTAAGGTTCGGTGACGGTAGAGTTGATATGGGAATTAGTATGCAGTTACCGAATGTTGTTCGGAGTCCCAGATGAGATCCCGAACGTCACGAGGAGTTCCAGAATGGTCCGGAGGTAAAGATTTATATAAGGGAAGTCCAGTTTCAGTCACCGGAATAATTTCTGGGTTTACCGGTATTGTACCGGGACCACCGAAAGGTGTCCGGGGGTCCACCGGGTGGGTCCACCTGCCACGGGGGACTAAATGGGCTGAACAAGGGTGGGAACCAACCCCCTAGTGGGCTGGTGCGCCCTCCCAAGGGCCCAAGGCGCCTAGGGTTTAAAACCCTAGGGGTGGGGGTGCCTCCCACCAACTTGGGGGGCAAGTCCCCCCCTTGCCCCCCCTTAGATGAGATCTAAGGGGGCCGCCCCCCTTTCCCCTTCCCCCTATAAATAGTGGGGGGTGGGAGGGCTGCCATACCCTTCCCCTGGCGCAGCCCTCCCCCTCTCCAACTCCATCTCCTTCTCCGTAGTGCTTGGCGAAGCCCTGCCGGAGAACTGCAAGCTCCACCACCACGCCGTCGTGCTGCAGGAGCTCTCCCTCAACTTCTCCTCTCCCCTTGCTGGATCAAGAAGGAGGAGACATCCCCGGGCTGTATGTGTGTTGAACGTGGAGGTGCCGTCCGTTCGGCGTTAGATCGGATCTTCCGCGATTTGAATCGCCGCGAGTACGACTCCCTCATCCACGTTCTAGTGACGCTTCCGCTTAGCGATTGTCAAAGATATGAAGATGCTCATCCTCTCTCTCTCTCTCTCTCTTGTTGGTAGAATCTCCGTAGATTGATCTTGGTGATGCATAGAAAATTTTGAATTTCTGCTACGTTCCCCGACAGTGGCATCATGAGCTAGGTCTATTGCATAGATTCTATGCACGAGTAGAACACAAGTAGTTGTGGGCGTTGGTTTGTTCAATTTGCTTACTGTTACTAGTCCTATCTTGTTTCGGCGGTATTGTAGGATGAAGCGGCCCGGACCGACCTTACACGTACACTTACGTGAGACAGGTTCCACCGACTGACATGCATTTGTTGCATAAGGGTGGCTAGCGGGTGCCAATCTCTCCCACTTTAGTCGGACCGGATTTGATGAAAATGGTCCTTATGAAGGGAAAATAGCAATTGGCATATCAGCTTTGTGGCTTTTGCGTAGGTAAGAAACGTTCTTGCTAGTAACCCATAGCAGCCACGTAAAACATGCAACAATAA